AAGAAGGAAGAAAGGAAGGGAGGGAGGGAAGGGAAGGGAGGAAGGAAGGAAAGAGAGAAGAAGACAGAGAGGAAGGAAGGAAGAAGGGAGGGAGGAAGGAAGGAAAGATGAAAGGAAGGAGGAGGGAGGGAGGAAGAAGGAAAGGAAGGTGGAAGGAAGGCACGGAGGAGAGAAAAGACAGACAGTGGAAGGAAGGAAGGAAGAGAGGAAGAGGAGGGAGGGAGGAAGGAAAAGAGAGGGAAGGTTGACCCGGAATTAGGAGACAGCGGTAGGAAGCGTCACTTGGGAATTGGTGTCTTTGGGCACGAGCAGAGTCGCGGATGCAGGTCTCCGGAAAGGACGACAAAAGAGACACGTGATCTTGAAGGAAACACCCAACATTTTGACCTCCTTCCCCGTCCTCCCTTCTTACCTCCAGCGCGCCGGACTGACGGGGGAGGGAGAGGGTGAAATCTCGAGCTGACGCGTGTCAGCTTTGCCGGGCGGAACTGCTTGTGTCGTCGGAAAGGATAAACACCAAAAGTCCTCGCACCGCCCTTCCAACTCTGGCTCGACGAGAGGACCTCCAGGGTCCCTGCCAGCTCTGTCCTTCTGCGATTCCGTCAGAGTCTCCTGCTCGAAGCAGGGGGTTGGGCTAGATGACCTCCGAAGTCCCTTCCAACTGTCCTTCTGTAATTCTGTGAGGGTCTCCTGCGCGAGCAGGGGGTTGGGCTAGATGACCTCCGAGATCCCTTCCAACTCTTGTGATTCTGTGATTCTGTCAGGGTCTCCTGCTCGAGCAGGGGGCTGGACTAGATGACCTCCCACGTCCCTTTCTATTCTTTATTCTATGATTCCGTCAGGGTCTCCTGCTCAAGCATGGGGTTGGACTAGATGACCTCCAGGGTCCCTTCCAACTCTTGTGATTCTGTGATTCTGTCAGGGTCTCCTGCTCGAGCAGGGGGCTGGACTAGATGACCTCCCACGTCCCTTTCTATTCTTTATTCTATGATTCCGTCAGGGTCTCCTGCTCGAGCATGGGGTTGGGCTAGATGACCTCCGGGGTCCCTTTCTATTCTTTATTCTATGATTCTCTAAGGGTCTCGAGCAGGGGGCTGGACTAGATGACCTCCAGGGTCCCTTCCAGCTCTGTCCTTCTGTGATTCCGTCAGGGTCGCCTACTCAAGCATGGGGTTGGACTAGATGACCTCCAAGGTCCCTTTCTATTCTTTATTCTATGATTCTCTAAGGGTCTCCTGCTGGAGCAGGGGGTTGGGCTAGATGACCTCCCATGTCCCTTTCTATTCTTTATTCTATGATTCTCTAAGGGTCTCGAGCAGGGGGCTGGACTAGATGACCTCCAGGGTCCCTTCCGGCTCTGTCCTTCTGTGATTCCGTCAGGGTCTCCTGGTCGAAGCATGGGGTTGGACTAGATGACCTCCAAGGTCCCTTCCAACTCTTGTGATTCGGTCAGGGTCTCCTACTCCAGCAGGGGGCTGGACTAGATGACCTCCAGGGTCCCTTCCGGCTCTTTTCTGACGGAAGACCAAGACCTGGTTCTGTCAGTGGCCTCCCGGAAGGGCTTAGAGAGAGAGAGAGAGAGAGAGACACACACACACACACACACACACACACACACACACACACACACACCCGTTTCAGCAAGAAGAAATTCACTCTTCGCAGCCAGTCGGGGGGGTGTCGGTGGAAGAGACTCCGCCCCCTCCCCTCCCTGCCCCGCCCACCTCTGCCTAGAGAAGGGCCATCCCCCTGGCAGAAGCGAAAGCAGCCCGCAGCCCGTCGGGGGAAGCAGCGACCCCCCCTCCCCACCCAGCTGGAGACTCGCTCAGGTGGGTGTCCGACAGGTCGAGCCGGGTACAAAGCGGGGAGGGGGGGGAGCGAGGGGGGAGGGAGAGAGGGAGGGGGGGCCGTCGACTTCGGAAGACGAGCTTGGCACTTCGAAGCACCGCGTGGGAAGGGACCTCAGAGGCCATCTAGTCCAGCCCCCTGCTGATCTATCGAGCAGGAGGCCCCTGACAGAATCACAGAGTGGGGAAGAGACCCCGGGGGGGCATCTAGTCCAGCCCCCTGCTCGAGCCGGAGACCCCGACAGAATCGCAGAGTGGGGAAGGGACCCTTGAGGCCATCTAGTCCAGCCCCCTGCTCGAGCAGGAGACCCTGACAGAATCACAGAGTGGGGAAGGGACCTCGGGGGGGCATCTAGTCCAGCCCCCTGCTCGAGCGGGAGCCCCTGACAGAATCGCAGAGTGGGGAAGGGACCCTTGAGGCCATCTAGTCCAGCCCCCTGCTCGAGCAGGAGACCCCCTACCCTTGCTGACTCTCTCCCTCCCCCCCCCCGCCACCCCTCCTGTTCAGCTGCTCTTTCCCGCGGCCGCTTCTCTCTTCCCGGAGAGACCCGGTGCGGCAGTGGCTGATGGGCCAACGGCCGGGAGAGAGGGACGAGGGGGAAAGAGACGGCTGGTGGGGAGGGGGAGGGAGAGGCGGAGGGGGCGACGCTCCAATGAAAACCATTCGTTCAAAAGTCATTCTATGATTCTGGAAGGGTCTCCGGCTTGAGCAGGGGGCTGGACTAGATGACCTCCGAGGTCCCTTCTATAGCTGTCATTCTATGATTCTCCGAGGGTCTCCTGCTTGAGCCTGGAGTTGGACTACATGACCTCCGAGGTCCCTTCTATGACATTCTATGATTCTGGAAGAGTCTCCTGCTTGAGCAGGGGGTTGGACTAGATGACCTCCGAGGTCCCTTCTATTACTCTATGATTCTGAAAGGGTCTCCTGCTTGAGCAGGGGGCTGGACTAGATGACCTCCGAGGCCCCCTCCAACTCTGTCATTCTATGATTCTCTAAGGGACTCCTCCTTGAGCAGGGGGTTGGACTAGATGACCTCCGAGGTCCCCACCGCCTTTGGGGATCAACCTCCATCTTTCCCGGGGAAGGGGAGGAGTGGGGAGGGATCATGGTGACTCCGCCTCAGGTCTGTGGGGTGTGTGTGTGGAGGGATCCCTTTTAATCCCCCTCTCTCCAATCCCTGCCTGTGTCTTGTGGAGAGAGGGGGGGCTGCTGTAAGGGTCTCCGGCTTGAGTAGGGGGCTGGACTAGATGACCTCCGAGGTCCCTTCTATAGCTGTCATTCTAGAATTCTCTGAGAGTCTCCTGCTTGAGCAGGGGCTTGGACTAGATGACCTCCGAGGTCCCTTCTATTACTCCTGTCACTCTACGATTCTGGAAAGGTCTCCGGCTTGAGCAGGGGGCTGGACTACATGATCTCCGAGGTCATCTCCGAGCCGGGCAAGTCCCTCGTTTGGCTGAGTCTGTTTCTCTTTTTTCCTCCAGAAAGATCGGGATTTCTCCCCTGTGAATCTTCTGGAACCTTCTGGGACCTTCTGGAACCTTCTGGAAATGGCTGGAAGCAACCCAGGTAAAACGTTTTAGGCCCCCTGAGGCTGGAGGGGGTTGGGCGGGAGCGCAGTTGGGACTCGCTCTCCTGGCTGGAGGGACAGGCCGTGATGACGGGACGTAGCCGGCTGACCCGGGTCGCCTTTTGGGCCTCCTCTCCCCGTTGCGTTGCTGCAGGGCCCGAGCGGAGGATCGTCCTGGTGGGCAAGACCGGCAACGGGAAAAGCGCGACGGGAAACGCCATCCTGGGAAGCAAAGCCTTTCACGCGTCGGCGTCCCCGAAGTCCATCACTCTGAGTTGCGAAAAGAAGGAGACGGCGTGGAACGGCCGTAAGGTGGTGGTGGTCGACACGCCGGGCTTTTTCGACACCAAGGTCCCGGCGCACAAAACGGCGGAGGAAGTGAAGAAGTGCGTGAAGATGTGCGCCCCGGGCCCGCACGTCATCGTGCAGGTGATTCGTCCGGGCCGTTTCTCCCAGGAGGAGGCGGACGTGGCTGAGCTGATCAAGGAGATCTTCAACCTCAACGCCAAGAATTACATGATCCTCTTGTTCACCCGGAAAGAGGACCTGGAAGGTAAAACTCTGGAGGAATTCCTCTCCGAGGACGATTCCTCTCTTCGGGATCAAGTCTCCGAGTGCGGGTCCCGAATCCTGGCTTTCGACAACAAGGCCGAAGGAAAAGAACAAAGGACCCAGGTGGCCCAGCTGATGAGCATGATCGACCAGCTGGTGTTCATGAACCGCGAAGCGCCGTATTACACGGAAGACATGATGAAGAAGGACGAAAAGCAGTATAAGAAAAAGAAGAATTTCTCCTGGTGTTCTCTTCTCTAAAAAAAAACACACCCCAAAGTCTTTCTACTTGATCCTCTGCTCCAAGGAGGCAGCTCTCCCAAAGGCCACAACCCTGCATTTCCCCCCTTTTGTTCCGTTCTAATCCGGCTCTCGCCGGGAGACCTCCGAAGAACCCAAGTCGTGGCGGGATCACCCCGAGCCACTTCCTTCTCCCGAGAAGCCGATTTCTCCCCCCGGGATGACGGACTTTCTTCCATAACCTGCCCCCACACCCGTATCTGCTGACTCCACGGCCGAATTGTCTCCCATCCTGGACCCTTTGGAAGGACACTCTCTTTCGGGCTTCCCATCTCTCAATCCTTCGAGGTAGACCAGGCCAGGAAACCACCAGCACAAGAAATATTAGAGCTCGCCTTTATTGGTATAAATGACAGTAGCGTCTCCCCTTTACTCCCGCTGGCACCAAGAGCATCAACGCAAGCCAATCCTTGAGGTTCTTGCTCACCCGTTCCTGTTTTCCTGGAGCGAATCTGTGTTTTCCTACATGTTTTCTTTGCGGCTTCCCCATCTGTCAATCCTTCGAGGCAGACCAGGCCGAGAAACTACCGACACAAGAAATATTAGACTTTGTCTGTACCGATTATAGTAGCAGAACCTTGAAAGTGTCTCCCCGTCGCTCCCGCAGGCACCAAAGCGCATCAAGGCCGGGCAGCCTTGAGGTTCCTGCTCACCCGTTCCTGTTTTCCCGGGGTGAATTCACGTTTTTCTTATACAGGTGCCTCCTGTTTCCTGCAAGGCCGTCTCTGTACTCTTCCATACCGCCTTCCGGGGGCGAATCTGGACTCACGAGGGAAATCCTGTCTGTTCTTCTTATGAAAAGCTTTTTATTAAATCTCCTCCTCGCTTTGGAAAGAGGCCGTGTGTTTTGAAGGCGGGATTTGGGGGAGAACAGCCTGGTCGGTCACCTCTAGCCTAGCCGGGTCCACGCAGCAACCCACTCACAGAGGGGGAGGGGGCAGGGAACGAGGGGAATCTACTCGAGGGGTGGGTCAGAATGCAGGGTGCTCCGCCGATGGAGGAGGGAGGGGGGTCCCTCCTGCACGGCAAGCGAGCTTTTATTGGTCTAAATGACAGCAGCAGAATCCTGAAAGTGTCTCCCCTTTGCTCCTGCTGGCACCAAAGAGCGTCAAGGCAAGGCAGCCTTGAGCTTCTTTCTCACCCCTTCCTGTTTTCCCGGGGTAAATTCACGTTTTCCTTATACAGCTGCCACGGGGGGAGGTGGAACGAGGGGAATCTACTCGAGGGGTGGGTCAGACCGCAGGGTGCTCCCCCGAAAGCTTTCCACCCTGGAAGTGGGAGGGGGGAGTCCCTCCTGCAGGGCAAGCGAGCCTTTATTGGTCTAAATGACCGCAGCAGAATCCTGAAAGTATCTTCCCTTCGCTCCTGCTGGCACCAAAGAGCGTCAAGGCAGGGCAGCCTTGAGCTTCTTTCTCACCCATTCCCGTTTTCCCAGGGTGAATTCACGTTTTCCTTATACGGCTCCCACAGGGGGGGGGACATGGAACGAGGGGAATCTACTCCAGGGATGCAGGGATATCTATCTATCTACCTACCTCATTTATCATCTATCATTTATCTATCTATCCTCTGACTATCTATCTATCTATCTATCTATCTATCTATCTATCTATCTATC